GGACTGTGATTGAGGAAAAGAGCTTTTTTCAGCAACTGATCACCAAATTCACAAGGGAAAACATTAGATGTGGTTTTGTTTTAGCACCTCTGTAAAGCACCAACATTATCTTAGGCTTAGCTAAGGAAATAATTGTAACATAGAAATTGATTATTCGCTGATGATAAAGATGTGTTAAAAAGAGATAATGTAAGTGCAATAATAGGTAACATCTACACATGACTCTAAACATGTATAAGTAGGCTTATGAAATTAGTTTCCTCACTGAGAAGCATGCTTACTTTGGATATAACTATACAGATCTCTTTCTTTTTCCTGTCCTACCCTCAAAGAAAAGGAGCAAAATCTTTACGTTTCTGGCTATAAAGAAGTTATTTTCTTGTATGACATTACTTCACTGGACAAGAGACATTGTTACAGGAGTGGAAAGCACTTCAGTCTGATCAAAGCTTACCTTGTTTTCTACAAATGCAGCAACAATGTCAGCACTGAAGAGTAAGAAAACCAAAGGCTGATTCAAACAGTAGCTGAATACAAGTTTGTGAGATATTTAATGGAATTTGGGAACTAGTTAATTTTTCTCCAAGACTGCAAGATAATCACCATCAGGATCTTAACACCATTACTAAAAGAACAGCCACATTTGCCAGTTCATTTCTTCAAAAGTCAAATCTATGTACATAAATGTGTAGTCACTCCCCTCAAATAATTGCTTTCTGCTTTTCTTGAGAAGGCAGGAACACAATCATTTCCTGTTACTTGATTGTCTCCAAGTTCTCCTTATAGAATTTACAATGCAAAGTCATTGTAAATCTTGATGACTAGAATGTTTTAGCATTTAATAAAGATACCTGCTTTAATGGCTTTTTTTTTCTACTCAGACATAATTTTTATAATTGAAATAAAAAAAAACCACTTTACACATCCTACAAGTTTGCTATTTGATCATCCATGATTAAGATGAGTAAAACCTTCCCAAAGGAGCAATTCGGTACAAGCTGCCCCCACACTTGTGATGGGAAGAAGCACACACAAAAGGATCAGTCAGAAACTGGCAAGGAATCCTGCCCTTGAATAGCCATTGAAGTCTTGCATCCCTAAACCTGCATTCGTAAGTGATTTCATCTGTCCACAAGGGTTTATTTATCACTTACTTTTGACAACTTTGTCATATTTATCCATGCTGGTCCTCTTTTTCCTCCATTTAATCATGCATCCTTTAGATGTTCCTGGATCTTTAAGCTTGGCTGATTCACCACCTTTTCCATTTATCTTGACCAAAATGGATTTTACTGTTCTGCAGTCATGCTCTTCTGTTTCTCTTCCTCTGTTACAGTGGATACCGCCACCATCTCTTCTCCATTACTAAGGCTGAAACACTATGGTAAGGTTAGTGTGGCTGTTCTCTCCCTCCTTGAAGATAATTGCTAAATCTTGTCTGCTTTTTTCCCCATACAAATCTGTTTCTTCCGCTTTAGCCAAACATTTGGATTTTTCTTCTGTATCTTTTTTTTTCCTCTTGGGTCTTTCCTATGCTCATTTTTTCCCAGTTTTTCCCCTTGGAAACACTTACTGCCAAAACTGCCAATCACCTTTCCTTTCTTTTCCTGCATAGATGCAGTGGAAATCATGATCATTTAAAACTTGGAGTACATGAAAGTACTACACACTTAAATGACAGAACATTGAAGATAAGCAGTAAAACCATCAAAGCAATAATACCTCTTCTTATGTTTCCTGAGACACTTTGGAAACCATGCAAGTATCTTTGAGGGAAGGATGAGAGGATAAAGTGCCAACCTCTTTTTTCCAAAGACAGGAGCTTATCTACAGAAAGTTTTACATGCTTCTGACTGAGACCGTACTAATAACAGTATGCATATACACCATACTTTAACCTTAAATGCACCAATAATCTGGCACATTAATGTTTCTACTCCACTATAGTCAAGAGCAATTTAATCTCACAAGTTAATTCTGTACAATTGTCTGTAGGCTCTTAGTCTTTCTCACACTGTTTTGAAGTGTTTTTCTGTGTACCTCTATTCACCTGAATATGCTGATCTAAAGTGTTTGGAAGCACCTCTCTTTGTTTAAATGTGTGTAAGTAATCAGGTTTAAATCTATCTGAGTTTGCCTGCTTCAGCACAACTGCTTAAGCACATTGTGTGTCTTGTTTCAATCCTCGGCCATTTCTCCTTATTATTCCTCTGGCTCAAGCCAAGCTGAGGTCCTAAATCTCTTGCTCTCTGGTGAGAAATCTTAAGGCTCTGACACTGAAATATTCACATTTCTTGCAAATATGGCCCAAGTAATTCAGTTAAGACACCTAGCAGTATCATACTGGAAGAAAGGATGAAGAAATAACTTGGGAGAAGAATGAAATAAACCTCCAGCAGTGCTCAAACTGCTTCTTTGTACTCTGACAAACTAGGTAAGATTTGTTAAAGGAGGCTGGCACTGACACATGCTTTACAGGCATTTGGCAGCTGGGACAAAGAAAGATGCTGAGGCAAATAAAACTGACTATTTGTTGCATGAAGATTCACCTGAAAGTTAAAGTCTGTCTCTATATTGGCTTACAGAAACCAGCACAAACCCTGGTCCAAACAACTCCATGTCAGTGAATGACAACACAAAGGCATCAGCATCTGTGGCTGAGGAAGCTGGGTCAGCATTGTCACACTTGCCTTCATTAACAGTTACTGGTGTATTGCTCTGTAGCATACATGTGACTTTTATCTTTCCTTCTCAATCTGCCCAAGCTAGGCAAACATGAGTGAATACACTCTGAATCCTGTTCTGTCTTTACACTTCATACCCTCACACTCAATTTATTCAGCAATGCCCAGATAGCCAGATTGACTGCCCTGAAGCCAGATTTCCAGCCAAAAAGTTGTACTTTGTCACTTCCCAGCTCCCCTCCTTGTTCGCCTGTTGCACCCACAACTCTTACCTCCTGTTTGTACTCCCAGAGTGACAGCCTTCACTGTTCGTGTTCTCGACCACCTGCCTCTGAGCAGCACCTCGGAGTCCCCCTCAGCTTTTGTGCCATGTGCTCGCAGGTCAGTACCACCACTTTTGAAGCCAGATATCCCCTCACAGGAAGATACTGGGAATTAAGGATTCCGTGACTAGATTATCAAGTACATAGTGCATTTTCATCAGTCAGGTTATTACCGAGCTTCATCAGCATAAATTCTTTATCAGTTTAGATCTTACTAGCATTCATATGAATCTATGTAGAGAGATTGAATTCAACAAAAGAAATCTCAAGTTGGAAACTTGTAGCATAGAAATTTTAACAGGGCAGAAGTGCTTCTGTTACATAAAATTGCCTGTAAAACAGCAGTACTGTAACAGCAAAATCAGAAAAACCTAAGTTTTGTATGAAAAATTCAGCAGGATGTCACACTGCATTGCTTCCTTGGCTCTGCAGTAAATGACCTTGGTCTCATCAGCAGCTCAAGCTCTCTTTCCCAAGGCATCATCCCACTGAGTAACAATAGCCCTTACATGCTGTGTATGTGATTTCCTTGCTGCTTCATCACATGAATTGGGAACATTTTCTCCTGTGCAGAGAGGCTGGGCCCGTTTCCCCCTGCCTGCCTGCTGCAGCACTCCGGCATTGCTGTTAGCTGGCTCATAGGGCCCGAGGACAGGCTGTGCAATACTGGGAATTACGGGTACGATGTGTGAAGCTGCCACACACCCACCTTCTAGCAGAAATCGGTCAGACACACACATTTCCTGTGCTGTCGTTAGGAGAGGGCAGAGTGGGAAACAGACAGTGGAATGCCTTGACTCAAGGCCACACAGGCCCCAGGAGGCTCTGGAAAAGACATCCCAGAACTGTAGATTTTGCTTCCACAGAGACTGAACAACGAGCAAGTAACTGCTACTTATTCTCATTTGTCAAGGTCAACGCATGCAGCACACAGCAGCGCTTCCTCAGCACTTCACAGACCCGAAAGTAGAAACTTTTAACATGACTCCACAAAAAAAAAGAGCAAAGGCAGCCCGCGTGGATACGGAGACCTGTTTTCCGCACTCGGCAGGCCCCAGAACCCAGCCCAGCCCAGCCCGTCCCGTCCCATCCAGCTCCGTGTCCAACCAGCTGCACCGCGGGACAGAGACGATCCACTGCCGGGCCCCTACGGGAGGCTCCGCTAGCCCCGCTCCCCGCCTGACGCGAGGGGCGGAGCTGCTGCGGGCCAATAAGCTTGGGGGGCCGCTGCCACCGCCCAATGAGGCGGTGGGTCGGGGGCGGTGGCTGGAGGAAGCGGCGTGTCGGCGGCCGGGTCGATGTGGCCGGCGAAAGGGGGTCCGGGCGCGGCGGCGGGGAGCGGCGTTTGCCTGGTGCTCGTGTCTCTGCTGCTGGCGGCGGTGCTGCTGGCGCTGGTGGTGCGGCAGCTGCTGAAGCAGCGGCGGCCTCCCGGGTTCCCGCCCGGCCCCGCGGGGCTGCCCCTCATCGGCAACATCCACGCCCTGGGGGCGGAGCAGCCGCACGTCTACATGCAGCGGCAGAGCCAGATCCACGGGCAGGTACCGCCGCTCCGGCGGCGTCTGCCGCCTCATCGGGGCCCGTGGAAAGGGAGCAGGGCGGGCTGGGACGGGGAGGGCAGCGCTGCCCGCGGCAGCAACCGGGCGGGCTGTGCCCGTCCCGGCCGTCCTGGGGCTGCCGCGGAGCCCCGACCCGCACCGGGAGCGCGGAGCGTGCGGCCGAGGGAGCCGTTCCGCCGCTTGGCTCCGGCCCGGAGCGGGACTCAGTGTCCGCGCCCCTCCGGCGAGCGGTCAGCAGCGCGGGGCCGGCCGACCAGGGTTGCACCGCCCCGGGGAGGTGGCAGCGGTGCCGCTGACGGAGCTCGCCCGCTTGTGGCGGGAGCAGAAGGCCTGTACCCGGCCGGTAGCGGGTCCGGAGCACCAGGCTCTGGCAAAGCTTGTGCTGCGGTCAGCCCTGGCTGTGGGGAAAGGGAGAGACGAGCGTCAGAGAAGAGTTGTCACCGTTCCGAGTTCCCGTTAGGGCGGGATGGGCCGAGTGGAGCTGTCCACGAGCCCGGCTCTGGAGTTTATGTCGTATTTTGGTACAGTGCTTGCACTCGTGTCCTGCTGCCAGTGGAACGACCTCGCTTTCGTATCCACGAGCCTTGGGCATGCCGGGAGGGCTTTAAAATTGATAAAAGTGCAACAACCAAATAGCAGGCACTTGGGTAAGGCAACGCTTTCACTGGAAACACGTTGCACCTTTAAGGTGCCCTCAGTGGAGTATTTGGAATACTTACAGTCAGTGAGTATAACTACATGAGAACAGAATTTTTATTTCTTATGTGTTTCTTTTCATCAACAGGTTTCAAGCAACCAATCTGTTTTACAAGCTTCATAAAATTTAAACCCAAGACAGGGAAAGGCAGGGAGGTGCTAGCATTTGCGTGTGTACACATAACAGAACACACAGAGACACAGTGCACACAGCCTGGCCATCCACTCGGCGTGCCTGTACATCTTCAGACTGTTTATAACACCTGTATTATTTTACATAGCAGGATTATCACTGGAGGTGTGTGAAGGACTGAGCTTTGTGGCCAGCAGGCAATGGTTTGTTAAGGAAATCGTGTCCTTCAAACTGCTAGAGGTGTTTAACACCCCTCACAGGCAAATAAAACTGTTCTGAGAACTTAAGGCTGTCAAAAGCTTTTGTCCAGATAATTTACGAAAGCTCCAGCAGAAACAGAGTAAGTCACAGTTTTGGCATGAATGAGAAGCCAAGAAAAGTGCCTGAATTAAAAGCCTGCTAAACAGCAGAAACAAAAGAATAGGATTCCCTTTTGTTTCATTTATTTTGGCAATAGAAAAAAGTAAATGTGTTTCAATCAGAATACTAGGGACAAATAGAATGGAAAACAGCAGGAAAATGTGTCAACAAATAAACTAAGCTTTCTATTTGCCTGGAATGATCTATGTAGTTCTGTCACCTGCTGTCAGAAAGGATCCTGCAGAATTGGAGAGAACTTGAAGGTGGTATATCAGGATTTTAAGGGCTCTGAAAAAATACACTGAAAGAAATTTTTTTTTAAATCTGTATGACATAGGAAGAAAGATAAATAAGTTATGATCCAAGTATACAAATAGTTTGCAGAAATGTATTGGAACTGTCTTCTTGTCCTGTAAAAAAGAAAAGCCATTATAACACTGAATATACAAAGTTTGCTAAAACATAAGTCGTAGAATCATTTAGGTTGGAAAAGACCCCTAAGATCATCGAGTCCAACCATTAATCAAACACTGCAAAGTCCACCACTAAACCATGTCCCTAAGTACCACATCTACAGGAGGTCTTTTATAATACCTCCATGGATAGTGACTTAACCACTTTGTTAGGCAGGCTGTGCTGTTCCAGGGCTTGACAAACCTTTCAGTGACAGCCCAGTTGTCACAGAGTGTTTAACTAGGCTAACTTTATTTCCTATTGTGGAGGTCAACAGCTGAGATGAAGAAAAAACTGGACTGATGTAGGCAAAACCACAGATTTATAACTCTAAGAGAAGTATGGAAAAGGGCACAGGATTTCAATCTGAAGTTTAGCCTCGGTTTTAATTTTTGAAACTTAGGTTAAGATTTTCATTTTGTTTATCCTGTATGTGCCTTCTGCAGGATGTATTGCATCTTTCTCCAAAGCACCTAGTGCTAACCACTTCTGGAAACGGGAGATGGGACTAGCTGGGCTATGCTGTCATATGTTGGCTGTCATCATGGCTCTCACTTCTATCATCTGATGATTCTTTGGGAGCCTGTGCAAAGTAAGCTGGTGTCCAGTTTCAGAGGTAGCGAGGACTGGGTGCAGCTTGGTTGTTTTTGCAACTGAAACCACTTCTGTGTCTGCCATTACTAAGTGACATGTTGGAAGTCTTCATGGTATGAACTTACAGCTTCAGTCATAGTGCCCTTAACCAAATTAAGCTGTTGGAATTTACCTTTACTCAGGCACGGAGGAGGAGCTGATACAGTAGTAAAGATTTCCTCCCTCCTGTGGAAATACGGCAAGTTAGCAAATTAGACAATATATGCACTCTTTCTAGTTCACACATAAAACTATACCTTATATCTAATAATGTTATATACTTATATACTGATACTAATACATACTTATCTATGCTCATCTTAGGACACAGTACATTTTTTCTAGAAAATGCTAGCTGTTGTGCCAAATTCACATTTTTTTAATGACTATATGAAAGCATCTGCAGTCTTCACTTTGGAGAGCTGGTCACTTCAGGTGTAGAGCAAAGTGCAAAATGTAGTGTGGGCTAATTTCCTTTATCTTTTGACAGAGTAAATTAGCTCACAACAAACTGTTTAATACCCCAGTTGCATCACCTCTGATTACCTGCATGCCCTACTGAAACTTATTTGAGCCTGTTTTGCATTCATATGTAGCGTTGCTTCACATTTTCATTACTCGTTTTTAGTTGTTTTCATTATTTGTTCCTGAGATTTGGTTGCAATAGCATTTTATTATTTTTTTTCAAGATCTTCAGTCTCGATCTCGGTGGTATATCTGCTATTGTACTGAATGGATATGATGCAGTAAAAGAATGCCTTGTTCATCAGAGTGAAATTTTTGCAGACAGACCATCTCTTCCCTTGTTTAAGAAGCTGACAAACATGGGAGGTAAGAACTAGTATCTTTTATATAAAAATGTAGGTTTTGTCCAATAGATGGGCTTGTGATCATGTGAAACATTTGCTTTACTGTTTTCTCTACTTCTTTATCTCCTTTTGTAAAATACTTGGTGATTCTTTAAAGTTATTGTTTGGAAAGTACTGTCAGTCTTGGACTATCCATAGCAAGATGTGTGTAATTTTTTGTCTTCCTTTTTTTGTCTTGTTCAATAGTTTCATTATCTTATGGGGGCAAACATAAAGCATTGCATAAAACACTGTGTCAAAATATTTTTTCAGGCTTACTGAACAGTAAATATGGCAGAGGATGGACAGAACATCGCAAATTAGCTGTAAATACCTTTCGAATTTTTGGATATGGTCAAAGGTCCTTTGAACACAAAATTTCAGAAGAAGCTATGTTTTTTCTTGATGCCATTGATACATACAAAGGCAGACCATTTGATCTAAAGCACTTGATAACAAATGCTGTTTCAAACATTACTAATTTGATTATTTTTGGAGAACGTTTTACATATGAAGATACCGAATTTCAGCACATGATTGAGATTTTTAGTGAAAATATTGAACTAGCTGCTAGTGCTTCTGTATTTTTATATAATGCTTTTCCTTGGATTGGTATCTTGCCATTTGGGAAACACCAGCAGCTGTTTAAAAATGCAGCTGAAGTCTATGACTTTCTTCATGACCTTATTGAACGTGTCTCTGAAAATAGGAAGCCTCAGTCACCTCGACATTTTGTAGATGCATATTTAGATGAGATGGATTGCAATGAAAAGGATCCAGAATCTACATACTCAAGAGAAAACTTAATTTTCTCTGTTGGAGAACTCATCATAGCTGGGACTGAAACCACAACAAATGTTTTAAGATGGGCAGTGTTATTTATGGCTCTTTATCCGAACATTCAAGGTAAGAACTTTGGCATTTTGAGGAACTGATACACTTTCCTAATGCAAATTTAAAATGCTTTTTCAAAGTGGTGCAGCGATCCATACTTGTAACCAAAAAGAAAGAAAGGGTTATATATATTACTCTATTTACCAAACATACTGTGAATAGAGGTAAAAAGCCTATTTTATATGCAGATGAAGAGGACATCAAAAGTTAAGTATAGTGATAAATTTTTTGCGTATTATTTGGTGAACATATTTTTATGAAGCTTTAATATTTTCAGTAAAGTATTTCTGATATATTTTAGTGTAGTGATGCATAATGTTGGTTGGTAGATACACTAATCTGTGTAGTTAGTAGATAATAAGCAAATGCAATCAAATATGAAATTAATAAAATAAGAATGTAAAAATATCCACAAAAATGTATATCAGGTTGTGGTTAACTATTTAGGTGCCATTTCTTCTTATCCTTAAGTGTCTCAATTCACGATAGATTTATGTATTACAGACATGCATATTTACAGTTTTGGAAGAACAAAAATAAATAGCATTTAAAAATAAAAATAGAAAGAAGTTGCAGTCATTCAGAGGTAAGACAGCAGTAGATGTTTGAATGTCAGCCCAGACATTTTGTGTAGACGTTTGGATTTTAGAAGTGAACGGTCACGTTTCTTGTTTCACTGCCTCCACTTTGCTTTTACTATCAAAACTTAGCAGGACTTAGTTCAACTGGCGACTTTAAGTATTTGGGGAAAGAGCGACCTTGGGTAACTTGGAAAGTTACTATTTATACTGTGACAGAAAATACTGCTCTAACATCAATTTCACCATTATCATCATTTCAGAATGGGGATAACAACATTACCTGTAGCCGTAAGGCTCTTAAAAGTCTGAAGTTCTACATAGGAACCAGATATCTTTATGTATGAAAGATTATATTTTCTTCTTATGGTAGACAGAAAGTAATTATTATCTTAAAATTGGAGATGAAATTTTGTATTTACATTTAAGGTAAATACAGCTTTACTTAAAAAAAAACCCACAAAATTATGATGATAATATATGCCAAGGCCTGACATGCTATAAGCAGTGAAAATCATTCGGTTTAGATAAAGAAGTTGATGACAAAGCTTTTTCATTGCTGCTATTACCGTTATTATAAGTCCCATATTCACTGAGCTGGTTTAAATATCTGGCTAAGCAAGTAGAACTATCTTTGCAGTCTTTTGCTTGTTTGTTTAGTTTTAAGAGCTCCAGAAATAAAAAGATACACAAGGAAATAAAAGTATGCTAAAACATTATTTTACTGAGAAAACTACTTCTGAAATGAAGATTACTTGTGTGTGTATATATATATATATATATACACATATGCTAGTAATAATTCCTTCTAGCAGGATAAGGAAGGTATAGTCTGAATTTAAAACTTACAGTCTACTGTATTTTATATATTTCATGTTTCAGTATCCTTTATAAAGTATAAATTTTATAGCTTAAAAAATAAAGGACTTTACACAATAAGCATCAACTTTTATTCCTGTTCCTAACAGGGCAAGTTCAAAAAGAAATCGAATTAGTCATCGGCCCAAGCAAAATGCCTACCTTAGAAGAGAAAAGCAAAATGCCATACACTGAGGCTGTTCTACATGAAGTTCTAAGATTCTGTAATATAGTTCCACTAGGTATTTTTCACGCAACTGCCAAAGATACTGTTGTGCGTGGTTACTCTATTCCTGAGGGCACTACAGTCATTACAAACCTTTACTCCGTTCATTTTGATGAAAAATACTGGAGCAATCCAGAAGTGTTTTTTCCTGAGAGATTTTTGGACAGCAATGGGCAATTTGTCAAGAAAGATGCATTTATTCCTTTTTCACTAGGTAAGTGATTCCTTCCACTGTTCCTTTTCAGAAACCTAGAGACGTATAACATAGAAGTCATGGCAGTAAATCAGGAATGGACAGAATGATATAAAGTATCCACAGTTCTGATGAAACAGCTATTTTAAAGATATTCAATATAATGTACTCTGGACATAATACATTTTAGCATAATATCTTTTATATAGATGAGCTCATTATTATATATAAACTAATAAAAAAGAGAACACAGTGTCTTCTGAGGAGTCCAGGCATTTTATATCTTTGCAGCACATAAATGTTACTCATTTCACAATTAATAGTAATATGCTGCTAAAGTCATTACATCCAGGTGATTTAAACAGCCAGCTTTCAAATTTCAGCATTTATATCAGCACCAGAAACTGCAGACCTGATTCAGAACTAGCCTGGGAGTCAGCATGCAGCACTTCATTCTGCCCTAAGGAAATACTCTTAACAGTCCCAAATCATTATGGATTTGTCTTTTGATGCCTTTAAAAGTGAATAATTTGCTTCACATATGATTACCAACCTAAAAAATTAGTTTTATTGTCCTGGTTTTGGCTGGGTTGGAGTTAATTTTCTTCCTAGTTGCTGGTACAGTGCTGTGGTTTGAATTTAGTCTGAGAATAATGTTGACAGTACACTGATGTTTTAGTTGTGGCTGAGTAGTGCTTACTCTAAGTCGATGACTTTTCAGTCTCAAACAGTCTGCTAGTGAGGAGGTGCACAAGAAGCTGGGAGGGAGCACAGCCAGGACAGCTAACCAAAATTCTATACCATAGAATACCATACTCAGTATATAAACTGGGGGGAGTTGGACAGGATCACTACTTGGGGATGGTTGGTTATAATTTTATATATATATATATACACACACACACACACACACACACATAAATATTATATAATACATAAGTATATATTATAATATATAATATATATAAATATCATATATATATATAAAAATACAATAATGGTTGCTGGCTGGGGTTAAACCATGACATCTGTATAAGCTAACTGCCAGGGCTACCTCTGCAGACCATGGAAAGAGAGCCTGCAGACAAGGACTTGGGGGTGCTGGTCGATGAGAAAATGAACTTGAGCCAGCTTCAGTGTGCGCTTGCAGCCCAGAAAGCCAACTGTATCCTGGGCTGCCTCAAAAGGAGAGTGACCAGCAGGTCAAAGGAGGTGATCCTGCCCCTCTACTCTGCTCTTGTGAGACCTCACTCGGAGTATTGTGTGCAGTTCTGGGGTCCTCAACATAAAAAGGGCATGGAACTGTTGGAACAAGTCCAGAGAAGATCCATGAGGATGATCAGGGGACTGGAGCTCCTCCCGTATGAAGACAGGCTGAGAAAGCTGGGGCTGTTCACCCTGGAAAAGAGAAAGCTGCGTGGAGACCTCATAGCAGCCTTCCAGTATCTGAAGGGGGCATATAAGGATGCTGGGGAGGGACTCTTCATTAGGGACTGTAGTGATAGGACAAGGGGTAACGGGTTAAAACTTAAACAGGGGAAGTTTAGATTGGATATAAGGAGGAAATTTTTTACTGTTAAGGTGGTGAGGCACTGGAATGGGTTGCCCAGGGAAGTTATGAATGCTCCATCCCTGGCGGTGTTCAAGGCCAGGTTGGACAAAGCCTTGGGTGACATGGTTTAGTGTGAGGTGTCCCTGCCCATGGCAGGGTGGTTGGAACTAGGTGCTCTTAAGGTCCTTTCCAACCCTAACTATTCTATGATTCTATGATTAATTTATTATGCATTCTGTTTCTTTTTGCCAGTTCGACCTTACCAGTTACAGATGTTCTTACCCATTCATCTTTGTCTTCCACATTTATTCCCTGTAACTAGTTATACATAGAATGGGAACTAATATTTAAAGGCATTATCCAGATCTGTTTGATATCTTTCTGCTTCCCAAGTTGTAATTATTGCCAGGTAATAACAAGTGACAATAGATGTAATTAACAAAACAGTAGGGGACAAAGGCTGAAATTCACAGTATCATTATTTAAAACATCTTCTGTCTAGATTGCTACTTCAGGACAAGATAAAGTAGCTGATAGCATATCTAAATAAATTTGATATAATTTGTGTAGTAAGAGGAACAAAATGGTTTCTTGCTGTTAATTATCACCAATCCTCTCTTACAGAATACTGCAAAGTTCATACAGCTCCTCTCAGAACACAAAAAAATAACCATTCTTATTCATAATAACAGTGAAAATGTAATTAAGCACATTTTAAGTCTTTCTAAAACTGTTTTTTCAATCCAGGAAGAAGACATTGCCTTGGAGAGCAACTGGCTCGAATGGAAATGTTTTTGTTTTTCACTTCATTACTGCAACGATTTCACCTGTGTTTTCCTCATGGCATGATTCCAGATCTCAAACCAAGATTAGGCATGACATTACAGCCGCAGCCATACCTCATCTGTGCAGAAAGACGGTGAAGAGAAGGGTCTAGATTGTCAGGTGAAACGCAGTGTTCCAAGTTGCAGCTGAGGATCTACTTTGACTTCTATTTCTAAATGTCTTCATGTCAGAAGAACAAAATTTTAAAGGACTTGCAGATAAGTAAGTTAATAGTTTCTTTTTACTTGTTTTTCACAAAAAACCCGCCCTGAACCAAAACCATGAAACACATCCTGCATTTAAAGTTCATGTTTTCACTCCAGAAGTCTTCTAATTCCTAACTTCTTACTCAGCTTTTAAATATTTAATTATCTAGCAAGCCATTTTATTTTGAGAGGATATTTTTATAAGCGTGGAGAATATGGCTCAAAATGTTCATACTCAGATTCATCCATGAAAATAGTTTACATTATTCCAGCTAAGATGTTCTTTATAATTCTCCATTAAATTTACATAGCTAAAAAGTTTTCAAAGGTATCTATTTAAATTTCTGTAACTCAGAATAAACTGTCTTTTCCAGCTTTAATAAATTGTTTATTGAAGGATTTTAGTCTTTCCTTCTCTTTGCTCTATCTTCCCAGTTGGTCATACTTTTTCTAGAGAATCAGATGACTGTGAATTCACTTTTGAGATCTTTTATGGCTTGCTTCTTATTTAGCAGCATATACTGAGTGTTCAGTTATTGCTGTACTCCTGACAGTCACAGCAGTTCTTTTGCCAGTTTATTGCATTACCAGAGTATGGCCTCCATTGCCTCCCAACACAAAGCATTATGTAATGATTAATCTCTGCCTAAGTAGTCTGGAAAAAAGAGTGTCTGTGTTAGTCACATGCCCCTGTACTATGAGTAAAGAAAATAAGCTGCTCCTGAATCTGACCAGAGAAGAGACCTTTTGGCAGGGGGACTGGAATAGGATGGGGAGGAACAGATTTTAAATGGATTCCAAACACAAGTTTTAGGCTCCATTTTTTATTCTTGACAGCTATTGCTTTATTGGTAAAGATTTATGCAGGCCTTGGGGGAGAATCTAAGTATGGCATGATAGTTTCCACCTTGTAGGGAGGAGTAGGGCCTCGGAATAGGGTTCAGAATAAGCCATACACTGAGCAAGCTGCTCTTTAAGGCAGGGCTGAATATTAGACGTTGTTCTTTATACAGCTTGTGCTGCAACTTGGAGCTGCAGGAAATGTTAAAGGCAGGAATTAGTGTTTTTCTGCTGACCTGATGTTTTCAGCTTATGCTGAACAGAAATGCCTCCTTTCTTTTGAAATAGCAAAGGAGAAGGATCAGAACTAGTACCAGTCCACTTAGGTAATAGTGTAGTGACTTAAGATGGAGCAGGTCCAGATTAAATTACTCTGTCTGAGGGTAGTCAGACCCACCTGCCCCGGAGAGAACACCTCAAACACATGTTCCTGGTGCTCTGAAGAGGGTTGTTAGGCTACTCCTCTTGCTGAATAACTGACTTTCTGTAAAGATTTAAGATTCAAAAAGCAGAGGAAGGAGGTAAGCCTCATTGCTTCCATGCATGGTGTGCATTGGGCACACCATGAAAGCTGCAAATAAACAAATAAATATTGGCAAACAGTGGTTCTTTGGAGTCAAGATTGAGGCTTTTCTGGATATGTGCATAAGTAAATGTAGGGTGCTTGTGAAATGCTTAAGTAAAAATTGGGGAATCTACCAAATTTAAGTGCCTTCAGTATGAAGAATATCCAATAGGAGGGTTCATTATTACACCTCTGGACTCATGGTATTTCTTCCTGCATCCCACCCTGTGCTCTTAGATGAACCAGATAGAGTTTTGTTAGACTCTAGGCTTGCCTTCTGGATTGCAAGAACTCTAGGACAGCTTTTTGTTAAAACACGATTCAAATAATCCTGATATAAGTGGGAAGATAGTTATTTTAAAAATATATATATAAAAAAACCCAAATCAAGAACCAGTTCTTGCAGGGGCTACTCTCAAAATGCAGCTGACCAGTGATAATTCCCTTTTGCTGAGGTTTTCTGAGATCTAACTCCTGGCTAGTCTTTAATCCATTTAATGAGAACCATAATGATTATATGTCATTCTGGTTTATAAATCAAAACACCTTATAAAAGCTTCAGAATATCAATCCAAGCTTTTACCATTATCTGCCAATTTATGGCATCATTTAAGCAAATACATTTGACAAACTGTCTTTTCTAGAAATTGATATCAGTATTAGTTATATTTACATGTTTCATTACCAACTTTTTCATTATTTTCCCTCTGACTTAGAACTATCCTAATGATTCAGTTTAATAATTTGAAATACTGACATAGGAGTTTTTTCCAGTCCTCTGGAAATTCTTCATTGTTTCAAGATTGATCAGTGATGAACATCAATCAGTAGCCAGCCAAATGATCAGAATTTCCTGATGAGTTTTCTAAAGCTGAGATATCTAGCATAGCTGACTGCTGTTTAACAGTCAGGGATTAAAGTTTGATATATTAACCAGTATATATTTTTCTGGTTGTAGATTTAAAGATGAAAAAAGACATTAAGTAATGTATTGAGGTAATACTGTTCCTATTGGAACAGTATTGGAGGGGACTGAAGCACCTCCCATATGAATTTGCTTTAAGCCAGAAACTGCAGAAGTAGTTCTGTGCCTTTGCTTTTTGTGCCATTTCTGTACCATGAGAATCGGTGCTTTCTGCCCTGTTTCTCAGATAGTCTATTCCTGTCTCCACTCCTAGACTTTAGGCCAGGCCTAGGGTGATGCATCTTGCTATCCAGCAGGAGATTCCCTTCTTAACACTGAGGCAAGAGCTGCAGTCTGCACCACCATAGTATCTTAAATCCCCCTTTCTAAAACTCTGTCCTTGAACTTAAGGTTTTGAATTAACCTTGACCAACTCAGCATCCACAGAAACTGAAAAGGATACACCATAAGCATGTCATATATGACACTGAAAGAATGCCAAAGAAAATTAAGCACTTGATTTTGCTTAACTTGCACTAGTTTCTGTGATACTGGGGAACTTCAGCTTAGTGTGAACCAAATGCAGGAAGGTTCATTGTTTTATGCACTAATTATATTAAGAATTTAACTATATAAAGTGGTATTTCATACAAGTTCAAGAAACATGACTACTTCTCCAAAGCAGATAGTGTGAATTTATTGTGATATATTCTTTATATGTATCCAGAATATGTTATGATATGATGTGAGAATCATAATAGTGCTGTATTGTGGTTTGCCAGTACATATTAGAAGTAGCTCAGCTAACTTGGACTATAATCTAGGATGTAGCTGCATCTTTTCTCAGTGAACAATCTCTCAAATTCTCTTAATAAGGGGTTGATAAAATAGAAACAGGGAAAAGGAGACCATTCCAGCTGGTGTTTACAATACACCATGCATTCTAATGTTATTTACAGAACTGTCAAATTTGTAATGTTTAACTGGGAACAAATAACTGTCCAGAGAACTGGTCATATCTGGAAAAAAGAGAAAGCCAAATAAAGAAAAAAATTATAAATAGGGACAAAAAGAGTAGATTGAAAGTAAAAAGGCAGTGGGTTCTAGTTTTTGCAGTTATTCACAAACCATTCTGAAGCATGAGTAGTTTATCTGGAAAAATAATTACAGTTATTTTAATGACATTTCTGTATTGAACTGGCAGATTTTTTCAGACTAAGTACCAGAAATAGCTACATCTGTAGCAGCCAAAGTGCTGGTTCAGACTGGAGTTCACAAAGAGCCTGTTTCTTTCACCTTTAAATCAAGTATATCATAGAACCGTGGTAATTTTTAAAGCTGTACAGAATCAGGGTTGGAAAGCAGCAAAACTTACATTTAAGGTCTGTAATGACTTAAGAGCTAAAATATGTCTGGAAGATGTGATCTCCCTTGTCTGTGGTTTGAGCATCACTGCAGGAAACATGAACTGAACCTGCAAGGGAAATGGACTTTTCATTGGGCAGAACGAGTAGTTCCTTCTGGTATGGGGATATGTCACTGTGTTATGGGTAAAGGAAAGCGTAGTGCCTAAAAGCCCTAGAAATCTATAAGGAGAGCAATGCAAATATGCTTTCTGTAGACCCAGAATAATTTAGGTTATGTGGGACCATGATGTGGCAGTAGCTGAGTGACCTTCCTTGAACAGCCCGGGAGACCTATGACAATGCCATCTTTAGCCTGTGGGTGACTGGACAGCAGCTGGGAAATGTTCAGGTGTTTTGTGAGGATAGCTGTCACCACACGGACAGAAATATCTCCTTGTGTAGTTTCTGATAAATGTTGAGAGAACAGGCACATCAATCAAAATAATGTATTACCAGACTGTCCAAAGTTCCAGTTGCTCAACATGCTAAGGACAGACCAGGCAGCTTTGCACAGAGATGTTTGAGGTGAGCTAATTTCTTTGCAGACAGTGTTCAACAAGGATTGTTGAAGCAAATAGTCTAGGTAGGATATCAGATCAGCTCCTAGTAGTGTCCATGGTGCTTTAGAGATGTACAGGCTTTTGTAGAATTGCACTTATTAGATTGCAAGGGAAGAGAAGCTTGACTGGTACCTGCTTGTATAATAGCTATCTATTATACAAGCAGTTTCTATTTATATAGAAATATATATTTATATAGGAATATATACTATATAATAGACATCTGTTACACAAGTACTAATGCAGTTTTTCTGCTTATTAACCCATCATCATCATCATAAAAACCATTAAAACCATTAAACCATTAAAAACCATTCTGCATATTTGTGGACTCATTCTCCTTTCTTCTTCCTACTGACATGAATATTCGCTGAATCTAAAACTGCTGAGCAGATGTGCATGTCTCCCTTTCCTCTACACCTAATTTTCTTGCAAAGGAAACTTCAGTGTACTCCAAGTGGGAGAATAATTCTGCAGCCACAGTGTAGGCAGTGTTGATGACTAGTATTACAGTACTGCCCAGGGTATTCCAACGTGCACTGATTTTATGCTGCAGGAATTTAGTAGTCTCTATTCAGACGTACTCAGCATCTCCCTCCAATTGTTCCTTGCCCATAACTAGACTCAACCAGAGTTTAAGGTGAAGTCATGAATTTTTCTGCATTTGTTTTGGTGATCCCTCCTTAAGCATCATCATTGTGCGTGTAATTTTCTAATACA